ATAAATGTATGGAAGATTTACATTTTACTTTTGTAATTGCACAAGATGAACAAAGAAGATATGATAAAGAAAGTTTAATAAAAATTATTTAAATAAAACTTGATTTATTAAAACAATTCATTTAATTATTTTTGAAAAAAAAAAAGAAAAAGATTAGACAATATTTTTAAGGTTTAATAGTATATGACCGGAGTTCGGGTGATAATAATAAATTAGAATATTTTAAACCTCAAATAATCTAAAACTCAAATATAATTATATACTTTTTTATAACATAAAATGTCAGAAGATATCAGTAACATTTCAGATGAAATATCTACTATTGTAGAAGCGACCGAAGGAATCACATCAACAGTTAATTGCGGAGTGACCAATGCGATAGGAATAGCAAGTGAAACAATTAAACCATATATTCCAATAATTGCAACAATATCAGTTCTTATTAAAGAGATTATAGATATATATGATAAAGCTCAATTCAATAAAAAAATATGTGTTTCATTACTTGATCGAGCGAAATCAGCGGAATCAGCTATGAATACATTACAAAGAAGAAAGAAAGAAAATGAAGAAAAATTTCGAAATCAAACATATTATGATAATTTTATGAAATTTAAAACAGTTTTAGAAAAGATTAAAATTTTTGCAGGGGAAGTGACACAGATTCGAGGAATTAGTAAATATATTAATGCTAGTAGTATTAAAGAAAAATTTTTGGAATTAACAAGTGAATATGATAAATGTATGGAAGATTTACATTTTACTTTTGTAATTGCACAAGATGAACAAAGAAGATATGATAAAGAAAGTTTAGAAGCAGATCTTGCAGAAATGAGCGAGGTAAGTAAGTTTGAAGCATTTTTATATAAATAAGAATTATGAATTTAAACTAAATTTAAATATAATGAATGCGTAGTTTATGAAACATTTTAGTGAAGATGTTCAAGGAACATTAAACTTCGTTCAAGGATCATTAAATTTGATACACCAAGAGGTATCAATAATTAAAACACAATTTTGTCAGAAGGAAAAGTATCAAACAGCAACACCGGATGCACATATTTCAGCACCAAGAATAGATCCAAAATTGATAGTAGATATCGAAACGGAAGGGCATACAATACAACCCACACCAAGTATAAGCAATGTTAAGGTGGTGAAAAAATTCTATACGAAAAACGCTATAGCTGTATCATGTGAAAGTATCAACATAGAACAAAAAGAATTTCAATCACAGAAAAAGCAAGGATATTTAGCGATTTTAGGAAAATTAGGAGAATGTCCAAATATTCTTAGATTCTTTGGGGTTTCATCAATAAAAGATTCCACAACATTTCGAGAACATGAAGTATTGGTATTTGAATGGGCTGATATGGGAAATCTAAGAGAAATTTATGAAAAATATGATATACCTTGGATTACAAAAATACCTATAATAATTGATATTTGTCGTGGTATCACATTTTTAAATTCTATTGATATTTTTCATCATGATATTAGGTGTGAAAATGTTAAGGTAAATTTTTTCAAAATGTTTAAATAAATTTGTAATTTTAAATTTTTATAATTATTATTAATATGGCATTGTCGATTTCAGATGACAAGTCGTTTAGAGCCAAAATTAGCAAATTTTCAATTTGCAAGAATGTCAGGAGCTATTTCTACGAATCTTGAAGATGGTATTTTAAATATTATTCATTGGTTAGCACCCGAGAAAATGTTTGAGCACATGGACACAAAGTCAAAAGCCAAGAAACGACGATATACACAACAGTGTGAGATTTTCAGGTATAAAAATTAAATTCAAAAGGTCATTATTTTTAATTTTACAGCGTATTAATTATTATTATTATTACAGTTTAGGGATGATGTTATGGGAACTATGTTTTGAAAGAATTCCTTATCGGGGTAAAGACATGACATATATTACAAGTCACGTTACGAAAGGTGGTAGGGAAAAAATTCCAACTTATTCCGGAACTAAAGAAGAGAAAGAGATTCATGCTGAATTTGTAAAAATCATTAAGATGGGTAATAATAAAAAAAAACTTTTAAAGATTTTGTTATACTTTATAGTGATAAACAATATCGATATGCATGACTAATTAATTTTTTTTTTTAAAAAAAAAAAGCGTGGGCTCATGATCCGGCAGAAAGAATTTCTATAGGCAAACTTTATATAATGCTTGCAAAGATGCACGACAAGTATGTTCCACCCGGAAAAATGCCCCTTGACCTTTTGCCCAACAAAGTCCTGAAATTAGATGATGAAATGGCAGAAGAATCTATGTCAGACAATGATCTATATATTGATGATGATGAAGATGATGATTTTGATAATGACATTGAGGAAATCCTAGAAGTTGATCAAGGAATTGAACTTCATACGACGAAAGATCCAGCCAAAAGGAAAGTAGCGTGGAAATGTTTTGTGGCAAATGCAACTAAAGGGCATTCAAAAGCATTATTTTGGAAAGGTTATTATTTATGGGAAGGATATTATACAGATGACAAAAGAACACCGGAGAAAATAACGGAAGATCGAAATGAAGCACTTCATCTTTTTAAATCAGCAGCAGATGATGGCATCGCAGAGGCACAGTTACGCTATGCGTTTGCATTAAAAGAATTAAGGATGTTAAGAGAGGCTGGTAAATATGAAGAATTTATGCATTACTTGAAATTATCAGCAGATAATGGAAATCCCGTAGCAATGTTTAATTTATCGGATATATACATAAACGGAAAGATGAGAGAAAAGAAAGATCAGGTGACTGGTATAAGATATTTAAAACTTGCTGCGTTGAATAAAAATGAGAAGGCGATCATGTTAGCTAATAATATGCGGTTAAATATATACGACTCAAATTATCAATTAGTTTAATATTGTATTATATAATCTTAGAACATTGTAAAATATATATATTCATTGCGTTGTTAACCATCATGTAAAAAAATTGAGCGAATATTCGCGAATATTCTCTGTTTATTATTAGCATTATAGGAAATGATCCCTAGTTAAACAACGCAGGTTAAATTTTGAAATTTATGACGTATATTTTATTTATTTGTTATTCATAAAATTAATGGAAATGTATCAAATAAAAGCTTAAAATCTTTATTGATTTTAAGATTTTAATATACCACATATTAATAATCATATATTGTATTTAAATTTTATATTAATTTTCTTGGTAAAAATCGGTGGGATTTATTATAGGTGCGATATATTATTTAAAGTCAAGACAAAGTCTCGGTAATTGCGCTTGGAATTAAAAATATCAATATAAAAATAGACTACTTTTTTTTTTTTTAATGCATTTGCGGAGATTTGTAGCAGTATAATAAATAAACAATAAATATTTTTGGTTCGCTAATCTTTATTTTCTTTTCAAAAATTGATATCCTTGTTTTTAATAGTTTACATTAATTTTTCAGAGCGAAGAGAAGGACCCTTCATAGTGTTATGATATTTACCAAATATTATGACGCATTTTAATATTACGGCACATTTCGTTATTCAACGAAGGGTTGTGCTACAATTTTTTTTCATTGTAAAATAGCTGCATTCCAACACTATAGAAAACTATAATAATTTTTATTATACAATCTACTATCTTGTTTATATCATCAAAATTTGCTAAATTCTTCGAAAGTGCTATAATTGTTTTATCAATTTATTTTTTTTTATTATTACCGTACAGGCTGCATACAGTACCCCTGGAAAAGTACCCCTTTTGAGTAAGTATCGGGGTACTATTCAATTGTAAATTTTGTCATTTTTGAAAAGTATCCGGGTACTAATAATTCATTTTACGTTATATGATTAACTCACATGGTCAAAACTTTCATAGTATCCCCCTCGTATAGTACCTATCTCTTTGCACAGTACCCCCCGGGGGCAGTGTTGTACGCGGACGTTGTCCCGTCAAAATTGCGCGGACACGGACAGTCCCGGACAGTGTCCCATGTCCCGGACAATGTCCCATGTCCGTGATGGTTGTCCCATGTATATAGTTTATCGAACAATCCGATTGGCCAACACGGCCGTTCTTATTATAATTTTAATTGTCCGGGACAAAAAAATATTGGCGGACATGTCCGGGACGTCCCGTCCCGGACTGTCCGCTGTCCGCGTCCGTGTCCCATGACAACACTGCCCGGGGGGGTACTGTATGGCTGTACGGTATGACGCTTTGCAAAAAGGTGAGACATTCTGTTGAAAATTCGATGTTCTCATGTTCTCATAGCAGATAGAACATCATACCTAATTTGAGAACATTCCGTTAAAAAAAAAAAAGTGTCCTCTTATACTGTATTTAATAATAATTCATGATAAAATTAGTCTGAGTAAGCCCGATATAAATGAGAACATTTTTAAAAATTGATTTTTAAAATAAAAAATCTGTTAGCGTTAGAATCTACTAATTTCTCGTGATTTTTACATGACATGATCTGCGAAAATTACCCGGTCGGTTACACGCTAATTCGATTATGTTATAGTATGATAAACCCCGCTATCGGAAAACGGGCTCCACTTGTACCTCACACGTGCCAGTTGCCTGTGGCAGCTCTCTAAAATCACGACACAAACCGAGTCCAGACCCGACCGATGTGTTGTGATTTTAGAGAGCTGCCACTGGCAACATGCACGTGCGAGGTACAAGTGGAGTCAGTTCAAGAATCTATCGTGTAACACTGTTTTTATAGTCATCAAAAATACCGGTTCCGACCGGGTAATTTTCGCGAAACACTATTGCAAAGTGCCATTTATCAATCAAAATTCTTCAAGATATGATTAATATTAGCGTTGGTTAATTTGAACACTTTGAACATCATACTAGTTACGTCAAAATTTTATTAAAAAGTTTAAGTCTAATTACGTCAATTACTGAATTAAAAATGCTATTTACAATGTAACGGTAATATTAAGTAACTCAATTATATTCAGTTTTAGGCTAACGATAACTGATAATATTGATTCAAACTGCAATTATTAGATTATGTAAAATAAAAAATGTCAAATGAATAAGGAAAAAAATGTAGATTAGTCAAGTACACAAAAGTCTTATATGCATATGATTTGACCGTGATATACTCGCTATCGCTATTACGTTCATCGTAAGTTTTATTTGAAACATAATCTTATTCTCTGTTGGGGATAGCGTGATTTTCAACCATACATAATCGCACATGATGATATCCAAAGTATCACCCCACCAGTGGTAACTTTATCTTATCATGTTCATCATATTAAAATTTTAACCGCCGTTTCATAATAAAATATAAATATCCACAAAAATGACCTATAGTTTCGTGTTCTTTTGCAAGTTCTAATAATTTTATTATATAATTTAATAATATAATATAGTTTTAAATCACAAAATAATCAAAAATATGTTTCGAGCAATTAGTAAATTTCGTCATGCTACACTTGTAAGCCTAGGAACGATTACTACTGCTGGTGCTTTATCTTACTACATTTATACGGATCGTTCTAAAAAATCTCTTTATAATCCTCAATTTATGATGTCTCAAACTTATGCTGATGCAAATATTTCAAAAAAAATCCCATTAAAAGTTTTACCATCACGTGATGAAATGATAAATATTCTTAAATATTCGAATAATATCAAAAATTCTCATCAAAATGATGATGGGGAATTCGATCTATTAATAATTGGAGGTGGTGCAACAGGAACTGGCATTGCTCTAGATGCTGCAACAAGAGGATTAAAAGTTGCGTTAGTGGAACGTGATGATTTCGCTTCAGGGACTTCTTCACGTTCTACAAAACTTATTCATGGTGGTGTTAGATATCTTGAAAAAGCTATTTATGAATTAGATTATGAACAATATAAACTTGTTCGTGAAGCATTACATGAACGAGCTACCTTTTTAAATATTGCTCCATATTTAAGTCATCAAATACCTATAATGTTACCTCTTTATAAGTAAATAAATTTTAGTAACTAATCTTTTTTTATATTGACATGTATTTATATATATATATATATATAATTTACTTCTTTTTTTTTTTTTTTTTTTCTTGATAGGTGGTGGGAAATCCCATATTATTGGGTTGGTCTAAATGTATATAATTTCCTTGCTGGAAAAGAAGCTATGGGAAATTCTTATTACGTTAGTCGTGTTAAAGTACTTGATGAATTCCCATGGTTAAAACAAGATAATCTTGTCGGTGCTATTGTTTTTTACGACGGTTTGTTATATTAAATTTATATTATGAATGGTATCAAAAAATTTATTTAAAAAAAGTTTTTTTCTTTTAATTCCTCATTTTACATTTTTAAAAATTTTTTTTTTTTTTTTTTAAAAAAAAAATCAATATTAGGTCAGCATAATGACGCAAGAATGAATGTTGCTCTTGCTTTAACTGCAATATCTCATGGTGCAACTGTAGCTAATCATGTAGAAGTTACTCATTTACTTAAAAATGAAAATGGAAAAATCTTTGGTGCTAGAGTTCGTGATAATTTAAATGGTGATGAATGGGATATTAAATCTAAGGGTGTAATAAATGCTACTGGTGTATTCGCAGGTACGATAATGCTATTTAATTATCGTCCAATTTTAAAAACAAACTTGCTAATTATTTTTATTTTATTTTATTTTTTTAATTAGATAATATTATTTCTCTAGATAAAAAAAAAGATAATATTATAATACCAGCTTCCGGTGTTCATGTAATACTACCAAACTACTATAGTCTTGGTGGAAAAATGGGTTTGTTAGATAAATCTACTTCGGATGGTAGAGTTCTGTTTGTACTTCCTTGGGAAGGGAATACACTTGTTGGTACTACTGATTCACTTGCTGAAGTAACATTTAATCCCAAGCCTAAAGAAGAAGAGATTATGTGGGTTTTGGATGAATTTAATAAATTTTTGACTCCTGGTTAGTTTTTTTTTTTATATAAAATTTATTATAAGATTTATAATTTTTCTATTTTTGCTTATTTGTTTTTTTATTTTTATTTATTTTTGAGGCTATTAGAAACAAAAGTTAGACGAAATGATGTTTTAGCTGCTTGGGCTGGAATTCGTCCACTTGTCATAGATCCTGAAGCAAAAAATACCTCAGCTTTGGTACGAAGTCATATAATCAATGTTAATGATTCAAATTTGATTACTATCACTGGTGGAAAATGGACTACTTATCGGAATATGGCCAAAGAAACTATTGATAAGGCTATTAAAGTTTTTAGTAAATTTTTTTTTATTTTTTATTTTTATTTATTTTTTGATATTTAATTGATTATTTATTTACTTTGAAAAAAAAAAAAGATTTGAACCCGTTAAATGAATGTCAAACCGAAAATGCGAAACTTATAGGATCTCAAGAATATTCTGAAACCATGTTTATTGAATTAATTCAACAATTTGGATTGGATACTGAAGTATGTTAATAATTTTTTAAAATCTTATATATTTATCAAACTTTTAAATAAATAAATATATATATACTTTTTTTTTTTTTAGATAGCACAACATTTAGCTCATGATTATGGTGATAGGGCATGGGATATTTTAAAAATAACACATAAAGCAGGTAGCAAACAATGGCCTATTCCTATACAAAGATTAAATCCAAATTACCCATATATCGATTCTGAAGTTCGTTATGCTATACAACAAGAATTTGCATGTACTTTGGTGGTGTGTATTCAATGAAATCTTTTTAAAAAAAAACAATTTCGTATTATTAATAAGTTCAAGGTTTTAATTAATATATATGTAATTTTTTTTTTTTTAATAGGATGTGATAGCAAGACGAACGCGTCTTGCTTTCTTAAATTCACAAGCAACATTAGAATCTTTACCCCGTATAATTGAAATTATGAGTGAAGAATTAAATTGGACTCCTGAAAAACAGAAAAAAGAATATGAACAAGCAGTAGAATTTTTGAAAACTATGGGGTTACCAGAGTCGAATGGCGAATCATCTCTTACAAATGTTAGCAAATCACAATGATCAAAAAAATTATTTATAAAATAATAAATTTAGAGATTTGTACCCTATGGGATATGTACCTGGTTCATATGATTAACCAATCAGATCGCTGGATCTCTGTGTAACGAATATAAAGAAATTTTTAAGAAAAATTAAGAAAAAAAATTTAAAAACGCCAATATCTCAAAATTTATTATGAAAACTTGCTTTGTGTTACTAAGTAAAAGTTTTTAGCGTCCAATTTTACATATAATTTCTAACTTAACTCTAATATAGTGTTCACCCTAATTCTAAAGTTAATTTTAAATTTTTATTTTCTTAAAAAAATAAAATATCATACCCGTAGGGTAAATCTAGTAATTTTCATAATTTAATATTAATAATGAAGGATATATATATATAATTTGTATTAATTATTGTAAGAATATAGAATTATAATTCCATTTTATAAGTATTTCAATATTATCTTTTTGTATTTATTTTATTAGAAAATTATCGCAAATATTAATAAGAATTTAATTACAATAAATATTAATAAATATTATAGAATTACTATATGTTAATCAGGAGCTAGTCAAAATCCAAATAAACAGAATTCCAAAAAAGACAAAATCTCAACAGATTAGCTTGTATTAGAATTAGAGCTAGCATAATATTAATCAAATTTTGTTAAAATTCTGTTTATTAGAATTTTGATTCAAACCCTATTAATTATATAGATTTAAAAAATTTATCTAAAAAATTTATTTATTTGAGTTTTAATATTTTAATATTTTAGTTTGATTTACAAATTATAAAGATTTTATAAAAATTTTAAATTTTTACTCTTTTTGATTATAAAACTTAAATATATTTAAAATAATGATAATTTAAATAATATTAACTTGTAAAACATTAAGAATAAATACAAAATTATCAATAACTTTTGATTTACTAGTTTGAATTAGATAAAATATATACTATTAAAATTAATTCTTTGAGATGAATCTAATAAGCTAAAAATTATTAAAATTTAATTACTGAATTCTAAGAAATTCAATTTTTAGTTTTTTATAATAATCTATATAATCTGATTGGTTAAAAGATTATTGCATAAGATTTATTACATATAATATATTTATAATTTATAGTTTTTGAAACATATATATTACTTATCTTATATATTATATATTATATTTATTATATATTTTATATATATATTATATTTTATTAGTAATAGTTGTAATATAAATAGTTTATATAATATATATAATCTGTTGTATTTCTAATTTTTTGTAAAGTATAAAAATAGTAAATATGAATCTTAATTTTAATATTGAGTCTTCATACTCTTTAATATATTTAATATATAATACAAAAAAATATTTAAACAACTTAAGTATTCTATATTCAAATCTTTCTATAATAATTAGTACTATTAAGTCTTAATACTCTTTTAATATTTTTTTACTATTATCTAACTTTAACTTAATTTTAAACTAAATCTCTTTTACTAAAAATGATTAAAAATCTCTTTATAGTATTTATAATCTAGAAAATACTTACTAAATAAGAGAATATATTAATCAAACTATAAACAAAAGATATAATTTTTTTTACAAACTAAATCTATAAAAATAATTAATAGCATTCTAGATAGATATAATGAATCTGTATACTTTAACAATATTAAAACATAAACAGAATTATAATAAAATTTTCTAATATTAAAATAGCTATTTAATAGTATTTTTATAAATAAACTATATTAAAATCTCAACTAAACAATTTTTAACTCTAACTAAAACAATAAATACAAACTCTTTCTAATTATTAAATTTGAATAGTATAATTCTATACTAGTAGAAATTACTATTAAAAAGATTACTGAAACTCTAAACAATTTATTTAATAACAAAGTCTATAGATCTTTTGGAATTAGTTATAAAATAATTAAATACTCAGAACTTAAAACAATCTAAGCTATTAAAGTTTTACTTAATTATTACTTAATAATACAAATAATTCTAAAATAATAAAAAGATAACTATATCTTTACTATTCTAAAAAAATTATATTTAATAGAGTTTTGAATAATATAGATCTAATTAGCCTTATTAGATATATTAAAAAATTTTATACCAAAATTTTAACTACTTGATTTAATTTTTTTTATACAAAATTCTATTTAATACTATTAGCAAATATTTATAATATTTATTAAAAGTTTTAAAATAAATAGTTATCTTATTCAAATATATTAATACAAATTTGTTAATAAAAAGTTATAAGATTTTATTTATTAATCTTTAAAAGATAATAGATAAGTTATATAATTTAAAAAGTATAAGATTAAATTTATAAGTTCTATATTTAGTGATAAAGATAGTTTTCTTTTTATTTTTTTTATAAATTATAACTTATTAAAATCTACTAGCTAAATTTAAACTTATAAACTATTAAGATTCTTCAAAAACAAATAGAATTTTATTAATATCTAGAAGAGAATAAATATTTTTTTCTAAAACTATATTTAACTTTCTATAGTCAATACAAAATCTTTTTTGTTATTTTTTTTTAAGTATAATTACTATAGATAAAGACTAAAAGCTACTTGATTCTCTAATAATTTTTTATTTTTTTATTTCTTCAATTTTATTTTTCAGAAATTCTTAATTATCTAATAATACTCTATAAGCTTTTTATTTAATAAATATAGTATTAGAAGTATATATTTTATAACAAACTTTATTTATTTATTCTAGTTTTAGAGTTTGTTCTTATTTAAAGATATTTTCAGTAAAAAAATAATTATTATTAATAAGTATTTTTTCTGCTTTCTTTTTTTTAGAGTAGTTAAAGAAGTATTTATATTTAATATAGAAGTTTTAACTTTAACTTCTGCTATAAGAGTAATATATAGCTAAATTTTTATTTGTGATATAATTTGTTTAAGAGTTATAAAAGAGGTTATTATTTTTTAGATTTTTTTTTATATAATAAGTTTCTATTTTATTAGTATTATCTTTCAATTTTATCTATCTATTCTTTTTTATTAATAAATTTTTCAAATTTTTTTAATACTAGCTCATTACTTATATGAGTTATATAAATAGTAGCTTATTTTTTTAAATACTACAAATCAAATAGAGCTATACTAGAAATAGTATATCTGAATAAAAATCAGAAACAAATTAGATTAAAATCAGATAATAATCAGAAAACTAATAGAAATATAAATATATAATATATATATAGATTTAAACTAAATTTAAACTAATAATTCTTATAAGCTCCTTCAAAAATATATTGAAATACTAGGTTTAAGTTAGATTTAGATTAAGCTAAATATTACAGAGATATAATATATAATATCTAAGTAATATTTAATTTAACTTAATTTAAATCTAATTTAAATCTAATCTAAATCTAAATATATTATAATATATTTAGATTTAAACTAGATTTAGATTAGATTTAAATTAGGTTTAAGTTAAGAGTAAAGTGAATATAGATTAATTTTTATATGATCTGCATAGTATTTTGCTTTTTTAGCAAAAAATAAATACATGCTTATTATAAAAATTCTTTGATTTTTAATTAATATCTATAAAATTTTTATGATATATACTTAAAATAGTATATATCTTTTATAAAATTTTAAAATCTATTAATTATAAAAAATTTATACTTGTATATATTATAAAATTTCTTAGATAATCTCAAATTTCTTAAATCACACAAAATAACCTATTCTAATTAGTTAATTTTAATAATTTTATATAATAAATTTTGTAGTAAAAAATTAAAACAAATATTTAAATTTCTATATCTCAATTTTAATAATTTTACTACTGTTAGAATTACAAAAATCTAGTTTATAACTTTACTTAAAATACCAAAAAAGATTTAATTATTTAAATTTTTTGTAATTTAAATTATAAAAAAAAAATATTATGTATTCATATGAAAATTGATCTATATTTATTTTACTTTTAAGTTAAATATAATATAGATATTATATATTACTTTTTTATAATATTTAGTCTAACCTAAATCTAATCTAAACCTAGTATTGTAATATATTTTTGAGGAGGCTTAAAATTAATCAATGAATATATAACAAAACATACTATAATAGTTTTAATATACTAATATTATAGGAGTTTATAAAAGAAATATTAATCTAAGTAGTTTCTTAAATTTACTTTAGTTATATCATCTTGAATAGTTTCTTAAATATATTACAATTCAGACATATCATTTTGAATAGTTTTCTAGATATTTAGTTCAATTATATCTATCTCACAAGAAGAAAAAAAAAAGTAATAAGCTAAACTTTATTGAAGGTTTTGATTAAATTCTTATTGAAATTTTATTAGATAATGGGAAGTATATCAAAAAAAAAGAGTAAAAAACTAATTTTATTAGAATTCTTATTAGAATTCTACTAGATAAAAGAAATTTATAATATAAAAAAAAGTAAGCTAAATAACTTCTATTAAAAAATTCTTACTAAGTTTTTTTATATAAAAAAAATAGAAAGACAAAAAAGATTTCTACTGAAATAATTTTTAAAAGTAAGATTTTGCTTTTTATATAATTATTTATACATACTTTATTGACTATTAACTATCTTAATTTCTTTTTTTAATATTTTCTATATACAAAACCAAGTTATATTAACTATCTTAATTTTTTTTTTAATATTTTCTATATATAAAACCAAGTTATTTAATTTGTTTAATAGTTTATTATAGAAATAAAAAAAGAAAACTAATTTAAATCTTAGAAATATAGTTTATTACTATAGTAAAAAAAAAGCTTATAATATTATTTATAAGTATAAAAAAAAAAAGCTACTTATAATATAGCTTATAATATAAAAAAAAAAAAAAGCAAAGTTGTTATAATAAATATAGTTTATAAGTAGTATAAAAAAAAAGAAAATTAAAGTTATTACAATAAACAACCTTTTGTAATAAAGCTATTTACAATAAACAACTTATTATATATAGTATATATATAAAAGATCTAGGCTG